GGGGGGGCACTCGAGATGAAAGGGGGGGGGGCTCTTAATGTAAAGAAGGACTCCTGATATAAAGGGGGACTCTGATGTAAAAGAGGGATTTGTTTTTGTGAAAAGGGAAACCCCGCGAAGGATCTGGTCTGGATTTTTTTTTTTGGGGGGGGTTACATGTTATTTTTTACATTTTATTTTGGGGTGCTTTGAGATTTTTCATTTGCTTAAGAGTCCCCCCCTCCCCCCTTCCCAACAGGTCTTTCCCATTTGTTAAACCACAATTTATAGTAGAGAGTAATATTTCGGATGTAGTCAAGTAGCACCGGTCGTCCTTCAGACTGAGATGAGCCAGCTGAGGTGGTCAGGGCATTTTATAGAGGGCTTCCCCCAACGTAGCCGCCTTGGCCAAATCTAAGAGGAAGGGGCGAAACCAGAACACATGGGCAGAATTACAGCTCCCGGCCGACCCTAGAATACCATATAGACGCCTCAGCAAGAGGTGGTGTCCATAGGCAGGGAAATCCTTACCTGCCACGTCTGCTTCTCCCACACGGACGAGTATATGGAACCTTAGGACATTGAGAAAGAGTTGGCCAAGGTCTGGCTGCCTGGCACTACCGCTTGCAGTTCCTGCTCTCTGCTGTAGGTGGCGCTGTCTGTATGGAAAAGCACTGCTATGAGAAGGTAAATAAAATAGAGGAATCATTCATTTTGATGGCATGCGCACAACCACATTCACCCCTCGTCCTTCAGACAAGATTTCCTGTTCAGAAAAAGGTACCTGTATGCAAACGAAGAAGGCGAAAGAGACGGATTTGTATATATGGCAAATGCTCGGCAAATGCCTTTAGATCAAGTGAACCTGAGCGGCAGATGTGCATGATCAATGCAATGAATCCTTTCATCGCAGAAACCCAGTGACAGTAGTGAATGATGGACAAGCGGAGAACCGTTTAGGCAACCCTGGCGCTCCAGCTGTGGTGAAACTACAAATTCCACCAATGAGAGGCACGCCTGTGGCCGTCAGTCTTGCAGTGCCACCACAGCTGGAATGCAGATGTTGGCTACCCCTGCGATAGGTCCTAGAGGTGGATCAATATGAAATGCAAAACATGCAGTTATGTAGCATAACAAAATCCCCCCCCCTTCCCCAGTCAACCAGAGTTTGAGGTCACATGACAGGCATCCTCTTCAGGTAATATGGCATCTTTGCCGACATGCATTTGAATTCCTTCTTTGGTAAGATCGTTGCACACTGATACAATCCTGAACGGACGTCACTGTGCAATGAAAGCTCTTCTCTGTCATTAGGGTGACGCTGTGTACCCGTGGGCTCAATGACACCTTTTAATTTAGCTGCAGGCAGGCTGATGGTTATCGATGGTTAGGCTCTGGTTGCATTTTCCTATGTAGAATGACCTACATTCTCAGAGCACCGCGGTGAAACGCATGAAGATGCCTGCACTATCATCCTATTGAAAGGCATCATGGAGCCCATGGCTTTGCTGTAAGCTCCCCATGAAAATGAGATTGCAATTGCCAAACCCTGATGGGCAGCCCTTCTAGCCAATAGCAAGGCACAGTTCCCCGATACCGGAACTTCCGGTCAGAGGGAGATTTCCTCTGACCGGCAGTGCTGCGAGGGAACATGGAGCCGGCTTCACGGCCAATCAGGAAGCTGGGCGGCAGGTAATGACTCACTGCCCGGCTTCCTGATTGGCTGGGAAGCCGGCTCCATGCTGATTGGCCGGGAAGCCGGCTTTCCAGTCAAATCAATAAGTGCTACTTTGTAAACATGGGATGCACCGGTACCAATACTAGTATCGCACTCACCCAAATGCTCCGATACCTTCCCCGATACCAGAACTTCCGGTCAGAGGGAGATTTCCTCTGACCGGCTGTGCCACGAGGGAACATGGAGTCGGCTTCCCGGCCAATCAGGAAGCCGGGCGGCAGGTAATGACTCACTGCCCGGCTTCCTGATTGGCTGGGAAGCCGGCTCCATGCTGATTGGCCGGGAAGCCGGCTTCCCAGCCAATCAAGAAGTGCTACTCTGTAAACATGGGATGCACTGGTACCAATACTAGTATCGCACTCACCCAAATGCTCCGATACCTTCCCCGATACCAGAACTTCCGGTCAGAGGGAGATTTCCTCTGACCGGCTGTGCCACGAGGGAACATGGAGTCGGCTTCCCGGCCAATCAGGAAGCCGGGCGGCAGGTAATGACTCACTGCCAAGCTTTCTGATTGGCAAGGAAGCCGGCTCCTTGCCGATTGGCTGGGAAGCTGGCCTCCCAGGCAATAAGTATTAAGCCGGCCAAACCGCATGGAGCTAGCTTCTTCTTTATATTTTGGTACTCGCCGATACCGAGTACCGGAACTTTCAGCTAGCATGGAGCCAACTTCCTGGCCAATCAGGAATCCAGGCGAAGTGTCATTTCCTGCCACCCGGCTTCCTGATTGCCCAGGAAGCTGGCTCCATGCTAGTGGAAGTTCTGGTACTCAGTATCGGCAAGTACCAAAATATAAATATTGGTACTCGATAAACAAAACAAAACAAAACAAAAACAGTATCGGTGCATCTCTAGTGCAAACTTATACAGCAGGGGTCCCTAAAATGGCGGACTGAGGTCCAGACACTGACCGAATGGCGGTTCTGTCTGGACCACCATGACTGACCTGCACTGGGATTGGCGCATCAGCACTGTGCCTGGGGACACACACCAGCAGCTGTGCGTTGTAGTTCAGCTGCTGGTGTGAACGCAGTCTACATGAGAGACCGCGGTAAAGACTTTTGCGCAAGGAAAAAAAGTCTATTGGCTGGACCGCCTTGAAATTTTCATTCACTACCCCGACATAGTTACACTTTTAGAACGTTCTGTCACTTTACCCTTTCAGGGCAAACAGAGAAGTTCTCGTTTTGACAACACCCCCACTTATTAAAACCCGTCCCCTCGCAGTTTTACCACAACTGGAATGCCAAGCTTGCCTACCCTTGGGTTATAGGATTGGCTTGTGCAAGTAGGGCCTTAGGGTAGGACATGCTCCCCCAGCACTGAAAGCCCATGTACCTGTTCTTCCTTGATACATATTGATCAGCAAGAACCTCCAAACTCCATATAATAGGCAGGACATCAATGAACCCAACGGAGCCGAACGGTGACAGAATAAACACATAGCAACAGAGTTAGTTGGCAGAGTGCTTTATTGCGACTCTTTAAAAAAGGCAGGACTAGGCCGCGGCCCATAGTTGTTATCACATGACAGCACCGGCCAATCCAAGTGCACTTTTCTTACAATATCGTTTGGGAAATTCTGATTGGCCATGTCTTGTCACGCACACACTCACACACACGCACACGCACGCACATGGGACCTGCATCGCACTGGCCTCATCAATACACAGTCAGATCAACCCTCCCCAACTCTTAAATAAACACATCTAATAAAACGACAGCCCGGGCTGCCATAGATCCAGTGACTAGGTGTTATTGGATTCCACTAACCCTTTGCATTAGCTGCCTTGTGAGGCGAGAGAGGAAAACAGAGGCAGAATTGTGACGTCGGTATCGTGGTTGTTGATTCTTTGTGGTGTGAGGAGGAGGAAGGCGAGCTTGAAACGTCTGGGTGAAAAGTCTTCAAAAAACCTAAAAAGTTCAAGTAATAGAGAGTCCGGGATACAGGCCCAGGCGGTAGAAAAGTCTATAAAACCTTGTCGGAGACTCTGCCCGGATTGGCAGCAGACAAAGACCTTTGTCATTTTAAAAAAAACAAAAAAAGAAAGAAAAAAGTTAGTATCAGCATATCGTGTCCTTTCTGGCAGTGATGACTCCTTGATCCTCAAGTTCTTAATGCTGACCACCCCCCCCCCAAAAAAAAGGCATTGAAGGACATTCCCAGCATTGCCACAAGAGCAAGGAGCGTTGTACAATCTGAGGAGAGAGGAACAAAAGAAAAAAAAGAAGAGGACCTGTTACATTGAGGAATAGGTGTGGGGATGCAGGATTATCCATTTCTCCTGTTGTGTAAGGACACAGCAGATGTCCCGGTTATAGGGTCTGCCTAGAAGAGGTTACCCCTTCCCACCCATCATCTGTATATTAACTTGGTCCCATTAGGGAAGCCGGCTCCATGCTCCAGGTGACGAGGAAGCATGGAGTCGGCTTTCTGGTCAAGCAGGAAACCCGGCGGCGAGGCATTACATGCTGCCCAGCTTCCCGATTGGACGGGAAGCTGGCTCCAAGCTCCCTGGTGACGAGGGAGCATGGAGACGACATCCCAGCCAATCAGGAAGCCGGGCGGTGTGTAATGACTCGCCTCCCAGCTTGCTGATACCGGACGTTCACCAGGTGACGAGGGAGCATGGAGCCGGCCGGTCATTACCCGTCCACAGGGTTCCTGATTGGTCGGGAAGCCAGCCCCATGCACCTAGGTGACGAGGGAGCATGGGGACGACATCCCAGGCCAATCAGGAAGCTGGGGCGCGGATAATTACTCACCTTTCGGCTCCCCGATTGGCCGGGAAGCCAGCTACATGCTCCCTGATGACGAGGTAGCATGGACCTGGCTTCCCGGCCAAACAGGAAGCTTGGTTGCGTGTAATGACTCAACGTCCGGCTTCCTGATACCGGAAGTTCAAGTGTCGGCGAGCATTTGGGCGAGTAGGAGTAGTTGCCCAAATACTCAGTATCGGCACCAATACCGATACTAGTATCGGTGCATCCCCAATATTAACATTCCCCATCACAATGCCTTGCACTGGGGATATAATAATAAAATACCCTCCCCTTGAAAGCTGCAATTTGGGCATCTGGTGGCTTTCAATCCCGGTCTCCTCTGCCCTTCAGGAACCAGAGTGGTTGCTGATCATGTGATCACCATGTCAACTAGGATTGTAATGATTACAAATAAGCTGGAGGGTTTATTGCCAAAATAAGCCTTTTGTTTCCAGATGCCACTGCAGCCTTCAGGTGGCAGTAATCATGTTTAACAATGTACTTGACAGATACAAATACAATATTAAAAAAAAAAGTTGTTTTTTCTTTTAACATTTTAGTGCATTTGTGAGCCTATAACACAGCATGGTTCTGATTAAAGCGGTACCAAATCAAAGCCTTGTGTCCTTTTAAAACGTAAAAATGATGTAACTGGCACTGCTTTATTTGGCCTTAGTTTTTGGGCTTTAATAGGGTTTGGTGATGGAAGGGTTAAACACTAATAAAATGACTCCTCACAGCTACACTCTTGTTAACATCTACAAGCTTTTGAGGCGACTACTGTTAAGCCAGTTTGTGACAGCAGGGAAATGGCAGTCAGGAGGCTGAATAACATTTCTTACAAGAGAGTTTTTATACAATAACTGTCAAAGAAACTCATTTGCCAAAGAGAAAAATAAATAAAAGAATAAATCAATGAAGCACCGTGTGGGGACAAATAGAGGAAGAAGTACAACTATCCAAGGTCCTGTAGCACACCTTACCGGAATTCCCATAGGCAAAAGTGGGTGCTCGCAATGACTGCGGATGGCGCCGCATTAAGCAGAAATTGTTATAAGGATATGTTATCAGCACTCCAGAATGACAAGCACGTCAATTTTAGTGAATCTCTATTTTTTAAAAGAGAACTATGAGGTGAGTGCTTTTCCACTCACCTCATAGTTCTAGCCGACCTGTGACAATGAGACTGTCACAGGTCGGCTCAGTAGATCGGGAGGAGAGCGAACACATACCGGCGTTCGCTCACCTCTCAATCCTGTCATGGCTCTCTGCCGTGACAGGGGAGGGGCTGGATTCCCCCCTCCGCCAGCGCTGACTGGCGGAACGGACGGGGGAGGGGGCGGGTACAGCTGGCTCTGCTACTAGATAGGCAGAGCCAGCTGTCAGTCAAGCAGCTGGGCGGATCCCGGCACAATTGTCGAGATCCGCTTCAGCTGCGGCGTCCCAGTATGCGGTATACTGCGGCGTCTCAGTATACCGTGAGCTACAGCTCGCAGTATACTGAGCCTAGGGTGATGGGAGGACGCTAGTGTGTGTCCTCCCGTTACCCTAAGGAGAACTATGGGGAAAAGCCTTAACCCCATAGTTCTCCTTTAAGAGGTTACTCAAAGTAGAGTCAAGCCTGATGAAGGGGACCCTGCACGGTCCCGAAAGCGCTCGACTCTAACTTGAGTGACCTCTTAAAAAATAAAAAAAATGGAGATTCACATAAAATTGACATGTTTGTCATTCTGGAGTGCTGGTGACATATCCTTATAACAAAAAGAGGAATAACACTCATCTGTCCTGCCACCAGTGCCTCTGATCTTTCCTCGGTTGCAGAGCAACACCGGCCAAAAGGGTGGAACCACAGTGCAAAGCGTAGAACCGGACATGGAAGGCACGGGGGGCAGGGAAGTATTTCTTCTCTTTTTTTCCATAGAACTTTCTTAATTGAGCTGATGAGATGCAGAACAACTTGGATGAGAGAACATGTAAAGTAAAAAGCTCACCATTGAGCACTGTCAGTGGGATTTCTCCAGCTTGTCCTTCTTTTGCACCAGGACTAACCGTAGATAAGGCAGTGCAAAGAGCAGCAATAAGAAGAATAAATGGCCCATAAAATAGACCGATATGTACACCTAGAAGGAGAGAAGACAAAATGGTCATTCATTTACATCCGTACAAGCTCAGGTATTTTATTTACCGTTCTGCATCACAGGCTGGATTAAAAGGACAGAACTACTTCTAGTAAAACATTAATCCAACTTTCCTCACCAACCTCAGCAGGACAGCCATGGCCATCTCTGCCAATTCCTCCTCTGTGCACATCGGCATAGTGAGCCATCATAGACTCGTATTAGGCCGTACTCTGGAGAAGAGGCCTATTCAAGTCTATTCATGATCTCTGTAATTATTCATTATTTATATAGTGCCGACTATTTATGCAGCACCTTACATAGTGCACAGTCACATCAGTCCCTGCGCCCCAAGGAGCTTACAATCTAAGGTCCAGATCACACACATATACATACTAGGGCCGATTTGGACAGGAGCCAATTAACCTACCGGCATGTCTTTGTGGGAGGAAACCGGAGTACCCGGAGCAAAGACACGCAAGCGCCGGGGGAACATGCAAACTCCTTACAGATAGTGACCTGACCGGGATTTGAACCTCCTTGGGACTGATGTGACTGTGCACTATGTAAGGTGCTGCACAAATGGTTGTCGCTATATAAATACCTGTCATAAATAAATAATTACAGAGATCATTAACCAGTTGACATCCGCGGTGTTAAACCCCCTTCCCATCCAGGCCATTTTTCAGTATTCAGCGCTAACTTTGTTTAGGCCTCTTCTCCAGAGTACGGCCTAATACGAGTCTGATGGCTCACTATGCTGATGTGCACAGTGCAATAATCTAATCGTCCCTATCACACACACATGCATACATAGGAGGGCCGATTTAGAACGGAGCCAATTAACCTACCAGCATGTCTTTGGAGTGTGGTAGGAAACCGGAGTACCCGGAGCAAACACACACAAGCGCAGGGAGGACATGCAAACTCCTTACAGATAGTGACCTGACTGGAATTTGAACCGGGGACCCTGGGTGCTGCAAGGCTGAAGTGCTATCCACTAAGCCACTGTGCTCTTCCATAGCCTTTCTCTGCACAGGTGCGTTGCTTTTATTTGTGGTCCGAGCCTTATCAAGTAAGTGCTACCCCGCCACCCCCCGCCCCATGGCCTGTGGTGTGCCTTGGCCTTCTCAGGTCAGTATGCCTAAAAGGGGCATACCCTGAATAGGCTCCTCCCACAAATCCAAGCTAGCCTTCAAACATATCTTTCAAGTGCAAATAAATGTTTTTGCAGATATTCAGGGCACTTGATGTGTTCCTGCAATCAAAGTGGCATGGACAAAAGCTTACTGTGGTCAGCTTATGTCATATTTGACAAATATTATGGACACTCGGAGCACCACTTTAATTTGTATAAGGCTTTAGCACACTTCAGGTTTAACTTGTGTATTTTCTCTTTCTTATCCTTGTTTGTCATATTGACCTTTCTGTTTAAAGGCGCTAAATACCTTCTGGGAGCATCAAAATGAACGGTGTGCAATGTTGGTCTATAGTTTGATATCATTAGAAAGCAGCCGCAGTGTAGGAAAAGCCCGTCCCCTGCTAGAATGCTGCAGAGAAGGATCCTTGCTCTCTCTGTGGAAGCAGGGGTCTCTTTGCAGAGGTCCATTACAGGGCCCTGTTGAGTCAAACCTATAGGTTTGCAACAAGTGCAGCTCATGCTCGTTGCTGATTGGAGAGCTCTAGCCGTGACTTAGCAGGGGGCATGTTGGACCCCTGCAGAGAAAGCACTGGTTCTATACACAGGGGCATGGGTCCTTTATAGGAGCCCGCTGGCAGGGGGCAGACTTTTCTACCTGGGTTTTAAAACAAGGACTTTGCACACCTTTTGTTTTGATGCAGCTGGAATATATTTCACCAATCTGTAGCTCAGTAAAGCTTTAAACCTTTTACACCGCCGACTTATTGTACTGCAATATATTGTAATTAGTTTCAGGGCTTTGTCACCTAAATACTGATTTGATGGAGGGATTCCTCTGATATTTCTGTAAGGTTTCCGATGTGAAGCAGACCGGTTGTGCGTGCTCTGTCTATATTATCCATGGGATTGTCATCATACAGGCGCCACTGGAGGATATAGCAGAGTGGTCTTTACTCTGTGCAGATTATCAGGATTATCCCCTGTGATGGTAGGATGCTTTCCCTGTAAATGTTCTCACCCATTACCATTCATGTGACGTCAACACTGGCAAGCCAGAGAAGACACAAATACATGAGCAATGTTAGGGGTATAGGCTACTTGATATCTGGACTACTCCGTGTCAGGGCTAAGCTCCACGGACAATTTTAATCTCTCCCTGCCAAGAGATTTGACCACTTGCTGGCAGTCTCCTCATTTACATCTACACAAAAAGTGAAGAGGTCTCATCTCATAGGGAACATGTAGAACTCTTAATTGTTCTTCAGCAATACCGGTATCGGTATCTTGAAATACTCCAGAATAGCAGTGTACTTTCTATGCCTAGTCACTCCTGTTCTGTAGCCTCATAGCTGTATATCTGTAGTGTGAGATCACCTAAGGCACTGCTGCCTCCGACTGCTAGTCTCAGGTGATTCAGAGGGAGATTTAGTGATGTCGCTTCTGAGCTGCTCACTGTTCTCCTTTCTGGAGAAGAAGCTGGACAAGAGGACCTGCAGTGCAAAGATCCCCTTGCATCTGTTTTATCTATTCTGTAAATGTATGGCTTCTGTAGCACTCAGCTCCTACCAAGATGGACACCTCCTACAGAGGCACAGTGCAGAACAAGGCATGGCAAGTCAGTAATGTGAAAAGATCAGCTGCCAGAGCAAAATGCAATACTGGTGATGAGTCCTTTGTCTTCTGCATGTCTTTTTTTTTTTGGGCACAGCTTCCACAGTACAGGTCCTCTTTAAAGGGAAAAGTAAAATCTATTCTTCTCAATACCTTGTGCCGGTGTGTGACACTGTAGGTGTGTGTGTATCACTTGGCTGTAGATCCTCCAATCATCTCTGAATTGGTGCCGACACTGCACTTCCTTCTGGAGGGTGGCTACTTTTGTTCTCCATGGTCCCTGTGTGTGTTGTAAAGTAGTCACCGCTCCAATCTCACTCCCGGGATGGACTACAATCTCATGTTTAGTTTATTAATTTGTATTGAGATTGTAGTCCATCCCGGGCCGAGTTTGGAGCGGTGACTACTTCAGAACACACACAGGGACCATGGGGAACAAAAGTAGCCCCCCTCCAGAAGGAAGGACAGTGTCAGCACCAATTCAGAGATGACTGGAGGATCTACAGCCGAGTGATACACAAATAAGATACATTGTTGATAATTAGGGTATTTGAATGCATTTTAATGTGGTCTGGAGGAGAGGGAGAGAGCGAGAGAGGGAGCGAGAAAGAGAGGGAGCGAGAAAGAGAGGGAGCGAGAAAGAGAGGGAGCGAGAAAGAGAGGGAGCGAGAAAGAGAGGGAGCGAGAAAGAGAGGGAGCGAGAAAGAGAGGGAGCGAGAAAGAGAGGGAGCGAGAAAGAGAGGGAGCGAGAAAGAGATATATTTCTACAAACACCCTTTCCAAATACAGAACCAGCTTGTGCAAAGGAAGAGGGGAAATCAGGGACGGGATTGCTGGATGAGTCTTACCTTGAGCCACTTGTCCCAGGTGAAAAGGCAGAATGGCACCAGCGGGTATCCCATGAAGAGCCAATGGATACACTGCTGTACCACGTACAGGGGAGGTTTCAGAACAGATATGGAGCATATCTGTGAGAGCAACGGGCTATCCCTCACCAACTCAATGGCCTGCGGAGACAAACGCACATAAACTTCTCTGTTAAAGGGCAAGTTTGCTTTTATAGAACAAAGACAATCTATCTACCTCCACCACACACATCGATAGTCACCCCTGACCCCCATCCAAGTGTCTGACCTGTTTCTCCACTACCACAATAAGGAACTCCAGGGAGAAGCAGAGAAGGTATCCAGAATGCAAGCCATGCCAAACGGCCAGGAAGAAGAGGGCGGCCCCCTGTGAGATGGCCTTGTTGCCGAGGAATCGGAGCCGTTTGAAAACGTATCTGCGGGAGAAGAATGAAAGTAGATCTAAACCCCAACTGAATGACTTTTATATTGCTGAGCGCCATAAACATCTGCTCTGTGTTCTTCTGTTACAATATCCCCTTTTATCCTCACTTATTACACCTCTGCAAGGTTCTAACCCAGGGGCGGGCAACTCCGGCCCTCCAGCTGTTGTGGAACTACAAGTCCCATGAGGCATCGCAAGACTGACTCCCAGAAGCATGTTGGGATTTGTAGTTAAAAGCACAGCCGGTGGGCCGGAGTTTGCAAACCCCTGATCTAACCCTTCCTTGCACGATAACATTTAAGTGTTTGCTCTCCCTGCCCCTCCCTTGATCAACATGCTAATGAGAATTTTTATTAAAACCTTTTTGTAGACCCAGCTAGTATTGAGCCTTAAAGCAATAGTTGAATCTGCTTATATTTTGTCTTCCTGGGTTCCTCACACTTCATTAAAATGCTAAAACAACACTTAAATCTTATTCCGTATTTATTATGGACCTTATTTTAGACCCAGATCCTATTTTAGATCATGGCTGGTGGGAGGGGCCTGCAGGGAGGGCAAGCAGTGGGCTGGCTCTTGGGAGGAGTTATGCAAATATCAAAATGCCTTGATGGATGGACGTCAGTCTGGAGAAATGGGCTGTCCTAGGCTGGCTGCATTTGCATGCAGACCGTCCTAGGTAACACCTGCATATGAAGCTGAGCCTCCATGATTGAAAGAACTGAAATCCAATGAATGAAAAGGACGAGCTGGAGACAGTCACAGTCGGTGAAGGTTCTCATTCATCCAGGTCATGGTCTATCTGTAAAAAATAAGTAAAGATAACTGGACTTGCTGTATTTTTCTTGAACACATTTTGCTGGTCATCCGACCAGCTTTTTCATTTGTGAATGGAGAAAGCTAGTCGGATAACGAGCGAAGCGTCTTCAAGAAAAAAACAGCAACTCCAGTTGCCTTGATTTATTACAGTCAGGCCGAGTAGGAAAAGGTTAAATGATGCTGGATATCCTCCCACGCAGGAAATGGGGCGGGCTCCGATTTGCTGCAGCTTCGAATGCACATTGTGAGACGTTCACAGTAAGCTCGGAGTAAGTCATTTCAGGAGAGGAGCCGGTGTTCTGTCGAAATCTCCGACCTGTCGAAATCTCCAACTGGTGACATCACAACCGGTGGCTCGCCAGTAGCAGATTTAGACCAGATGGCGCTAGTGCGCCTGCGATGCCAGTGTGAGAATCCTTATTGAGCTCCGACACGTTGAGATCTCCAACTGGTGACGTCACGTCCAGTGACTTGCCAGTAGGCGATTAAAACCAAATGGCGCTAGTGGTGCCAGCGTGAGAATCCTCATCGAATTTTCGAACTCCCATCACAGCGCCTACATGTCTGCAGAATCCCCATCAAGTTCTCCAACCCCCGTCAGTGCGCCTGCGCAGTCACCTAAAAGCGCGCCCACCCGATGGCACAACATGTAATCTCTTAGCATGTCGTGCTGTCGGGTGGGCGCACTAACGCTATTTGGAGGACTTGATTCTGCTGTTTGATGACCGCGCAGGCGCACTAACGAGGGTTGGAGAACTTGATGGGGATTGTGAGCACAGTGACGGAAGTTCGATAACTCGATGAGGATTCGGACAGCGGCACAGCTGGCGCGCCACCAGCGCCATCTGGTCTAAATCTCCTACTGGCAACTCACCGTACATGACGTCACCATTCGGAGATCTCGATGAGTCGGAGCTTTTGACAGAACGCCGATACAACTGTGAAAGGCTGAAGGGAAGGCCGGGAAGGACAGCCCAGTCATGTGACCTGTCAAAGTCACATGACTGGCTCTACTCCAATGCTCCATTAGGCAGAGTGCACTCCATGGGACTACAAACCGCAGCCTGATCTTTAGCAATAGGACGGGCCGCGGCGCGCATATTGCAGCGCAGTATAACAGACACGTATGTAGATATCCCCTGAATGTTATAAATGAGCCCCTCAAATGAAACAGCAAGTTTCCCACCCAAAACATGACTAATCAGTCTCACCTCGCCACCCAATCATTGGTATTGGTGTTGAAGCTTGCGATTGTTCCTGTAAAAAGGGGCGTGGTCTCAAACTGCCACACCTTCATATTGGCACAAGCATCCCACAGCGGCTGGCCTTCGGCGTCCTTCTCATTGTAGCCCAGGCCAGACAGAATGCAGACACCTTCCTACGTGGGGGCAGAGGAAGTCAGGTGGTTACACAGATTAAATATATATGCAAGCGACCCATTTTACCTGTCAAAGGATTTGTATTTCTGCCCATCCAGTCCTGAGATATGCACAGCTCTGCCACACAGCACAGCCCTCTTTGTCAGGGCAGGAGCCCTGATTTTTCTGTTGCACTTACAAAGTGACTGCACAGTGAAAGGAGAATCAGCAGACTGATTAGCTCTATGTTATCTCCTTCTATCAGCATGAGCCTTGCAGTACAATTTGATTTTCGCCTCTGTTGTCCCCTTTACAGCATCATTCAGACTGTTAGGAGGAGGGGCAAGATTGGGAGCCAATAAGGTGCCCTGCATTTACATGTGCTGACCAGGCCCCTGCTGAATGAAGTACAGAGCAGAGAGATGATCTAATCTGCTTCTTCATTGTCCAATCACAGGCTGGGGGCAGGGAGGTGACCAGGATGCATTGCTTAAATTGTACAATTGCAAAGCCAAGTCTGTGTTGTGCCATCTGACAGGGCTGTGCAAGTCTCAGGACTGGATGGACAGAAATACAAATCCTTTTGGAGCATAAAACGGCTGCCTCATCGGCATTTCATTATGTACAGTGTATTTAGCGGTTTGTCTGGAGCTCGGCTTTATAACAATACGGCATGCATCCTTGCTACAAAAATGTAATATAATGATAAATCATTTTTCGTTTTCCCATCTGTATATATGCACAATGGGGGGAATCGATCAAAACTGGAGCAGACAGAATCTGGAGCAGTTTCCCATGGCAACCAATCAGCATCTCTCTTCAGTTGGCTCAGGTAAGATTTGAAAATGAAAGAGAGAAGCCGATTGGTTGCCATGCACAGCTGTTCCAGTTTTGATAAATTCCTCCCATTATGTATACAGTATATGAACAGTACATAACAGCAGTGGCGTCGCTAGGGGGGTGTGGCCCCGCACCCGGGGGACACCATTGTCACCTCCTCTGAAAAGTCGGGCACTCAGTCATGGACCAAGAGCCCGACAGTTGCAGGAGAGAGGTGGACCCAGCGGCATACCTCATCCCGCCGGGCGAAGGTCCCCTCCTCTCTCTGCCAGCGTCCATCACCAAGATGGCTGCGCATGCGCGATAACGTCACGGTGGGGTGTCACCCGGTACCTGCTCCAGGTGACACCTGGCCTCGGGATGCCCCTGAATAACAGTCCCTCATCTTTGAACTCATATCAGGTATAGTGGAGTGCTTACCGTCACCAGCCAGCAAGTCACATATTTATACAGCGTTATTTTGCCCCAAATGGTCATGTAGACGCAGCGGTACCAGAATGGTTGGTTCTGCAAATAACAAGAACAGAACAAAAACAGAAAATAAGAAATATTATAAACCAGAACCCACATTAATGTCATAGACACCAAGCCGATCCGGCCTTCCATGTTCTCCGTGTCCCGCCAATATTCATACCTTCCATTCCATGCTCATTTTGACCCCTCCTACTTCCTGACCTATCATATGTCTTTGCCACACCCACTTACATGGAACCCATTAGGTCCCACATAGCGTTCGATTGAACAATACTGTGCTGAACTTGGAACTGAGCACCTGCAAATATTTGGGTTCATGACTGGGGGGGACCCTGAATCCCACAACTAATGTCTAAGGTCCCACTAAGCTCCACCCTCTGCCAATGTCAAGCCCCACCCCCTGTAAACAGTCCAGTTCCAGAACCTCCATAGCCTGCAAGGACTCTTATTGATCTGTTGACTAGGGAACGGTGATCCCTTAGCATTGGGAGGTGACTTGGACAATATCTGAGGCCCTGCGTATAGCCTGTGCCTGGGATTCAGGGTTATCCTGGAAACACAGAAAGAGGTCTAAAAGGTAAACACTAGGGATGCGCCAATACCGATACTAGTATCGGTACTGATACCGAGCATTTGGGCAAGTACTTGCCCAAATACTCAGATACCGGAACTTACGTTCAGAAGGAGATCTCCCTCTGACCGGCAGTGCCGAGGGAGCATGGAGGTGGCTTCCTTTCCAATCAGGAAGCCGGGCGCTGGGTTATGACCCGCCTCCCTGATTTGCTATGAAGCTAGCTTCACGTGTTGCCAAGCAGCCTAGCTTCCTAACCATTTAGGAAGCCGGGAGGTGGGCCATGACGTGCCGACCGGCTTCCTGATTGGCTATGAAGTCAGCTTCACGTGTTTCTAAGCAGCCTAGCTTCCTAACCAATCAGGTAGCCGGGAGGCAGGTCATGATGTGCCGACCCGGCTTCCTGATTGGCTAGGAAGCCAACTTCTCTTGTTGCTAGGCAGCCTGGCTTCCTGACCAATCAGGAAGCCGGACGGCACCTCATAACTCGCTGCCCGGCTTCCTGATTGGTCAGGAAGCCAGGCAGCATCTGAAGCCAGTGTCCTTTCACTAGAACACCGGCTTCGCAGGCAATCAGGAAGCCAAGCAACGGGTCATGGTCCGCCGCCTGACTTCCTGATAAATGGGGCACAATGCGCCGATACGCACGCTGCCCGGCTTCCCTAATGGGACTTCCGGCATCAGTATTTTTTTGCCAAGTGTCCATTTCTCCTGGAGGCAGCAGCATAACCCTATGTCTCCAAATTTCTACAGAGCCGTGCCCTCAATGGACGATTGAGAAGAGAACTGTATGCTCTGTCCCTGGACCACTGTCAAGTTTAAAATGGATTGGTGGCTATAGAACAATGCAGACGTTTCCTAACGGAGTCAATAAGGCCCTCGGTGACCTGCCGATCCCAGTCTCACCGCATACTCTTCTGTCAGGAAGTAGCTGTCGGGCAGATAGGGGCCCAGCACTGTGTACACCGTCAGGAAGAAGAGTCCAAGGCACAGGCGCTTCATCGCCGGCACGACACTGTAGAGAGATGGGTAGAGGGGGGTCATAATCCAGAGTGATGATACACAACGCAGTCTATACTATATGGGAATCTTTTATACACACCTGTTAGGAACTTGCCCCTCCACATCGGTTAGCTCCCCCTTCACCAACCTCAGGTACTTCACCATAGAAAACTGGGGGCCGACTAAAAACCCACCATAGTAGTAGGAGAAGCCGCAGACCTCCATCAACGTCGGTACTCTTAACACGGTGTAACGCTGTTGTTCAGGTGTGAGCGTCGTCTGCAGGGAGAAAACATAAAATATTTTACATAAATGTATGTAAATGTGATACTGTGAAATTAAAATAAAAAACATATTAAACAAAAAAAAATAAAAGGGACACACAGAGATGAGTGTGCTACAAGGCTTCATGTCATCAGCAATGAAAGACAACAGCAAATGATTTTTTGGGAACGGTGGAATACAAATAGTGAAGTTATGATGAGACTCCCACCCAACCTCCACCCAATAATCTTAGCCAAGTCTTTACAGCTGAACCTGAAGCTTAAAAACTGTCCCCATTTTTTTTTTTTACTCCACTTTAGTAACTGAAAAACTTTTTAAAGCCCAACTGCACCATTTCCGTGACCCACAAACCCCCCTCATCTTTTCTTTTAAACCCTATTATATATCCTTCTTCTTGCAGTCTACAGCCTGGTCCAGTGATGTCATAGGCCTTTCTTCCTCCCTACAGGGAATGGTAAGCAATCATTCCCAGACCGTAAGCCAATGCACCCCCAGAAGGCATGCTCATGATGCCCCCAGGTTCACAAGAAGTAGAACAGATGATGCTTGGCAATGCATCATTGAACTCTGGGAAGGGCTGGCACTGGATCCCAGCAGGAGAGAGGGGGGTCAGCACTGGAGAGAAAGCAAATATTGCAATGAAAGTGGCTTCTTTATTTTTGTTTACACTACTCAGCTATTTATTTATAAAAACTTTACCGAACAGCAGAGTTGGGCTGTAAGTCGCCCCCAATGTCTCCCAACAGTCAGACACACAGTCAGAGCAGTCAATGATTACTACTGCTACAAGAACTGCACGCCTACCATGGACTGCAGCAGGATCTTAAAGGATAAATAAATCCTCCCGTTTTTTTGTATAGATCGACTGATAGCAAGCAGTAAATATATGCAAAAACATAAAAATAAAAAAAAGGATTAAAACTAGGGATGCACTGATACCGATACTAGTATCGGTGCCAAGTAAATGCTCCGATGCCTAGCCCGATACGTCCGGTACCTGGAATTCGGGCAGCGTGTAATGACCACTTGTGACGAGAGAGCATGGAGCCGGCTTCCTGGCCAATCAGGAAGCCAGGCGCCGTGTAATGACGCAGCGCCCGGCTTTCTGATTGGTCGGGAAGCCGGCTTCATGCTCCATGGTCACCTAGTGAGGAGAAGCATGGGGACGGCTTCCCTGCTAAGTCTTGACATGCCACCTGGCTTCCTGAATGGGACTTCCGGTACTCGGTATCGGCGAGTACCGAAATAAAAAACGTAAAAACTTAACTGTGACTCCGCCGCGCGCTCCCGTCCGAAGATCTGAACATTCTCGGGCGGACGCAAAGGATAATGGGGCGGGCGCATGTGCTGCAGCAGATCTTCGGCCGGGAGAAGAGGAGAGAGACACGGTAAGTCAATGGAGGCAGCGTGCACCCCCACAGACTGTGGGACAAGAAGTGCCAGGAAGAGACAGGAGTCAGCGCTGGATCAGAGACCGGCACCTGCGCTGGAGGGACTCCTGAATACAAGTGGAAGGAAGAATATGATCGGATCATGAGGCACCATTTAAGGCAAGTCCTTACACCAGCATTGGGGGGAAACTTTAGCCTTTGATGTCACTTTAACTACCTCCGGGCCGGCCGTAGTAAAAAAAACGGGCGGCACAGCTCGAAAACTTATCGATAGCGGCCCTCACCTTAGTTTTAAAAACGGTATATGTTAATCTTTCTTAATGAATTATTAATCAAAAAAGTGACCGCAAATAAAGGTCCGTGACTCATAAGATCTGACAACACTGCAGATTAGCTCAGTTAAAAAAAACAAGACATCAACTAGCTTAGATTAACCATTGGACTTTGTCAGGCCACAATGAAGGAAGTGAGGTATGAGTAAACTGATTCCCAGCTGTGGAATTTATTGTCCTCACTCTGGATCATTACAAGTGAACTGTAGTCTTACATTTTCTTTGCTCATATACGGGATCCATCATATAATGTGAACAAGCTTACTGGTGTGTGTTAAAGGCCAAATTTACTTTTAAAGTGACATTAAAGGCTAAATGCCCATTCCCCCCCCCTCCCCCAATGCTGGTGTAAGGACTTACCTTAAATGATGCCTCTTGATCCGATCATATTCTTCTTTTCAGAAGTCCCTCCGGCGCTGGTGCCAGTCTCTGATCCAGCGCTGACTCCTCTCTCTTCCTGGCACTTCCTGTCCCACGGAGTCTGTGGGGGTGCACACTGCCTCCATTGACTTACCTTGTGTCTCCCCTCTTCTCCCGGCCGAAGATCTGCTACTGCGCATGCGTCCGCCCTAAGATCCTTTGCAGCCGCTCTCTGAGTACCACTTGTAAAGAAAGATACAGTGATATGACCCTCATTAAATCATGGGACTGACAGGATAACTGTCCTCAAATATTCACTGCAGTAGTCCAACCTACCTTGTACTACCACAGTGAATATTTGAGGACAAGTATCCTGTTGTGACGCTCATTAAATCATGGGACTATCACTGTGTCTACGTAGTAGCCCGTAGCGGCATATTTATTGATCTAGCATATTGTTGGTCTTGGATGTTTGTAACTAGGGATACACGGATACTGTTTTTTTAGCATTGAGTACCGATATTTTTTTTTTTCGGTGCTCGACGATACCAGAAGTCCTATCAAGGAAGCCAGGCGGTGTGTAATGACTCACCACCTGACTTTCCGATTAGCCCGGGAGCCGGGCAGCGTGTAAAGACTTGCCACCCGGCTTCCCGATTAGCAGGGAAGCCGTCCCCATGCTTCATGTCACCAGGTGACGAAAAAGCCAGGAGACGGCTTTCCGGACAATCAGGAAGCCAGGTGCCGTGTAATGATGCGTTGCCTGGCTTCCCGATTGGCCAGCTTCTTGGCCAGCTTCTCGACCAATCAGGAAGCCAGGCAACGTGTCATTACACAGCGCCAGCCTTCCTGCTACCTTGTCATCAGGTGACGAGGGAGCATGAAATCAGCTTTCTGGCCAATCAGAAAGCCGGGGGGGCGTGTAATGACTCGCTGCCCGGCGTCCCGATACCGGAAGCTCAAGTATTGGGCCAGGCATCTGAGCATTTGGGCGAGATACTAGTATCAATGCATCCCTATTTGTAACAATTAATGTTTTATGGGTATTTTAACATATCTTAATAAAACTTAAAATTTTAGTCATGGTCTTCTATTATTGTGGGAATTCCCATATCAAAAAAACCCCACTCAATTTACTACTTTGGTGACGTGAGGTGACCAAAGTGAGGTTTTAGTGAGGTGACGTAGTCCATTCATACTTCCTCCCGTCCCTGTAACTGAAAGTCTGTACCTTGGTACAGACAGGGACAGGCACTTTGTTTTGATACCGGCACAGGGCACTTTAACACTGTCCCCTGATAAAGCCACAGTGGCGAAACATGTTGGGTTTGGGTATGGGTAGAGCACAATAGCACCTTTTAGTGGCGGAGCGTCCATGCAGGAAAAAGGGAAGAGGAAAGTAAATGGGAGGTAGAAGGAGCAAGATAAAGAGCTAGAGAGTGAGGCTTTTAAGCGGGAGGAATTAATAAAAGATAGATATCCCTGCATGGCACACACTGTAGGTTGGGTCAGAAATTGAATATTGATACTCAAACATCAAAATATAAAAACATACATATAAAAAAATAGAATTAAATGTATTAAATATTAGAAAATGTGAAAAGTGGGTAAAATGCTGAGGAAGCATCATTATTAGACACGGGACAGGAGGAAGAGTCTGCAGGGACCAGAGCATTGCACCCATGATCCACTGTTCATGGTTGCAATACTTTACTGGTTCCAATGCAAAAAGTAATAAAATGCACTTTGTGTGTGCATTTATTATTTTTTTTGTAAAAGGTGGACTATGGCTTTAAAAGGACAACTATGGGGTTAAGGGTTTTCCCCATAGTTCTCCTTAGGGTAACGGGAGGACACAAACTAGCGTCCTCCCGTCACCCTAGGCTCAGTATACCGGGAGCTGTAGCTCGCGGTATACTGAGACGCCGCAGCTGAAGCGGATCCCGACAATTGTGCCGGGATCCGCCCAGCTGCGTGACTGACAGCTGGCTCTGCCTATCTAGAAGCAGAGCCAGCTGTACCCGCCCCCTCACGCGTCCGTTCCGCCAGTCAGCGCTGGCGGATCGGAGCAGGGAGGGGGGAATGCAGCCCCTCCCCTGTCACGGCAGAGAGCTGTGACAGGATCGAGAGGTGAGCGAACGCCGGTATGTGTTCGCTCACCTCCCAAACTACTGAGCCGACCTGTGACAGTCTCATCGTCACAGGTCAGCTAGAACTATGAGGTGAGTGAAAAGCACTCACCTCGTAGTTCTCCTTTAAACTTTTTTTTACCCCTTTGTATATTTTGCAAATATATATTTACTTATGAGTGGCTATAGAGTATGTGCGGTGCTTTCCTCCTAGTTGACCTGCCCATCTTACTGAGTCTTGTTGGAGCCAATCAGGTGTGCTGCAATGCACTGGCTGAGGGGAGGAGAGCAGAGTGATGACTCGTCACGGTGCTGCTGCTCCTTCATTGTCCAATAACAATGTGGGGGGCCAAAGAGGTGACCAGGCTTGCAGTACAGAAAAGTCAGGACACAAACCTGCCGCTGCCATCTGGTATGGCTGTATGTATCTCAGGACTGGATGGGCAGAAATACAAATTTGTTCACGTATAACAGTCCCCATATACGTGAATTTTAACCTCTTGCCGTCCGCCCGTTAAGAAAAAACGGACGGACGGCAGACTCGCATCCGCGGGTTGCCGTCGCCAGACGGCATTTTTTTCCTGCTCGCGCGCGCCCCCTAGCGCACGCGCACGGGCAGGAAAGACCCGCTCGTTACTACAGCCGTTAACGGCTCTTTCACATACAACCGATCAGCGGCTCTAGCCACCGATCGGTTGTATGGCGTGAATTTCGGAGCGCCCCCCCCCCAGCATGACGGAATAAATGTCAGTCAAAGTACCGCAGCGCTGAATACTGAAAAATGGCCTGGATGGGAAGGGGGTTTAACACCCCGGATGTCAACTGGTTAATGGCACATTTACCCGTTGCCTGGAATTCGGCTTTTAAAAGTAAGACTAAGGCATCCTTCCTATTCTCTTCCTTTGTAGCTTATTTGCTCAAAACCTACAAGTGCCCTTTAAACAAGGTTAATGGTCGATGTATCACACGCAGCCCTGAGATGGGGCTACTCTGGTACAATTCGGCCAGAGACTGGATTCCTGGAGCTTTTATCTGAGAAGCGCGACTTTCGAAGAGTAAACACGGATTGGATTTGAAAAGATTACGCAGGAGAGGTAACAAAAGCCGCTCTGGCAGGGACAGGTAATGCTGCTGGCACGTTGACAGAAGAAGATTTGAGGCTCTAATTGCTGACTTCCACCTTGGACAGGTTTCAGGTTAATTACAGGTGCGGCAGAACCTGCTCGCAGATAATACTAACCTTTTCTTTTCCACCATCGTAATAATCAAACGCAAGTCCTGTGGGGGATGAGAGAAGAGCGATGAAGGTAACACTTCTCGTCGTTACAGAAACACAAAGAAAATTAAACCCCGCTGCACTCACACGTGAAATTTCCACATTTAACTTGACTCAGGGGACGCAACCTGCCACACGACTTATTTTCATTCAAGCCTTCATCACTGCTAGCCAAATCTCTACAGCTGAGGGTGTCCTTAATTAAAGAGGGAGCTGTCAGAACAGTTGTTACCAGGCACTGCTGACGCAAGGAACTCCTGAGGTTAGGTTCCAGGGTACACTGGGCAATACTGACTTCCGGCACTAGACTGTAGCCAGGTATTAGCCCTCTTGATGGGTTCTCATTAGGGATGCAACGATACTAGTATTGGGGCCGATACCGAGTACTCGTACTCGCCCAAATGCTCAGATACCTTCCCCGATACCAAAACTTCTGGTCAGAGGAAGATTTTCCGCCCGGGTTCCTGATTGGCCGGTAAGCAGGTTTCCCGGCCATAACAATCAAGCCAGCCAAACAACATGAGCCAGCTGGGCAGGAAGCTGGGCAGTATGTCAGTATGTCATAACCGAACGCCCGGCTTCCCGATTGCCTGGGAAGCCTGCTCCATGCCAGCGGAAGCACCGGTATTGGTCCTCGGTATTGGCGAGTACCGAAAGCAAAGTATCGGTACTCGATACCAAAAATCCGGGATCTGTGCATCCCTAGTTCTCATCAATAAATTGCCTTGAATCTGAACCATGAACAATGCAGTCCAAGGACTTCTACAATACAGAGAAGAAGTTCTGATTGGTTGGTATGGGTTAGTACACGTAAGAAGTAGAGCTTGAAGAGACATTTTCACCTTGCCCATTCAGCTAAAAGTGACATTGTCTTTGTAAAGGCCCCGCTTCCGCCCTAGTTATACTCGCCTTACAGCTGCTGCCTGCTTTGCAGCCCGAGTATGAGGATCATGTGACAGTGCTCAGTTCTAGCAGCCAATCACTGGGGGAGTGATGTCCCTGACCCCCTTACCATCTGACGCCAGCAGTCTGGAGCTGTGAGCGATGGTAAAGGGTGGCTGGGAGGGGGACCTTTACAAAGATGCCGTCACTTTGCCCTGTGATTGCAAGGTTACCGTGTCTCTTTCAAGTACATTTGTCATGGAAGAAATATGTAGACTGCCATAGCCAACGTGTCTTTGGTTGCCTGATCTGTCATGCTGATGCTTTGGGGTCAGTATTATTGATGCAGGACTAATATAGAGATAAAAGTTTCTGATTTTTACTTTCTGGCTTATGTTTACGGTATGCTTTTCCTGAGCCTGGATCAGAAGGACTGAAGCCAGACAGCCAGGCAATTGGCAATTCCAGGAGGCAGCCGACATATTTCTCGGAAGGGGGTGCTGCAAAACTCCAGGCAAACATTAAAATTTGTATATAATGAGTTTTATTCATCTTACCCTGCACCAGAATGGTTTTGTTATAGGCATGTAGCAGTGCTCCATCTTACTGGATTCGGGCACTTCTGTTTACTCCAATGCATGGAGGAAAACCTGTTCTCATCACAAGTGGAGTGGACCCAAAGCAAGACTCTGCCCTCATACACATCCAACCAAAAGACTGATAGGAGGCAGAGACAGAAGATACAACAGATTGGACAGGAAGGAGTAGCAGAAGACGCAACAGAGCGGACAGGAGGGAGCGTCAGAAGACGCAACAGAGCGGACAGGAGGGAGCGTCAGAAGACACAACAGAGCGGACAGGAGGGAGCGGCAGAAGACACAACAGAGCGGACAGGAGGGAGCGGCACAAGACAAAACAGAGCGGACAGGAGGGAGCGTCACAAGACACAACAGAGCGGACAGGAGGGATCGGCACAAGACACAACAGAGCGGACAGGAGGGAGGGTCACAAGACACAGGAGCGGCACAAGACACAACAGAGCGGACAGGAGGGAGCGGCACAAGACACAACAGAGCAGACAGGAGGGAGCGGCAGAAGACAACACATTTCTGGATCAGAAATCATCTTGCATTGTACCCCTAGTTATGTAGCACCCTTCCTATTCATACTTCCCAGGGTCACAGTTATTAAACATTCCTTGCAGTATATCTACAAGTGTTGTCTATCATGTGGAAAATTGTTCTCCTTTGGTTCTAAAGGACTCTTTCCATTCATGCTAAGCACACTAGGACAGAAACAAATGTCCAATATTGAGAGCTGCTGGTGTACTATGCTATATATTTTCCATAAAAAAAAAATATGGAGCCAAGTGTCTTCATTACCCATTTGGAATGTCTCTGATGAGCACAAGCTAATGAAGTAAAATGCCTAACCGGCTGCAACGGCGCCGCCCTCACCCTCCAGCCAGGTGAGCGACATTCCCATCTCCCCCCATACTCCGATAATAACACTCACCAATTAGCTTGAGCGTCAGAACGCAATGAGGCATAGTCCATTTGATATCGTAGTTATCTGTGGCAGTGTAGTAGTAGCCAAACATTAGATAACCCTGTCCAAAATACAAAACACAATCATCTCAGGGGCAGGATAGTACGAGAACATGACTGATAAAACAACGAGTGTACTTTTGAAATACTTTGGCTCCTTTAATATATCTAAGCAGATCAAACAGGGTTGTAGATACAACCTTTCACCCATCTCTTCTCCTGCTTCACTGGGATCAAAGGTCTCCCCAATTTACCCCCCCTCCCTTCCTGATAAATGTATCAAAGTCGCCATCTTTGCCTCTCTATGCCAATCGCCCTCTGGTTTCCAGAATATGTATACATATCGTTTCCAGTGGCCAGCATGCAATCTGGAAGCAAAATGCATGTGTTATTAAAGCTGCAACAGAGGAGATCGGCCTAGAACAGACTTGGCTGTAGCGCCTATTCAGTACTGGCAGGGTCTCTTTAAAGCTGAACTCCGGCCTTCCCTTCACTTGCACAGTTGTACCGGCACCTCTCCTAATTACTCTGATGTCACTGCATACTGGGAGCTTCTCACAATGTTCATTAGAAGCTGCAGCAATCAGACATAGCCCGCCTCACTTCCTGGCTGGAGGACGTCCAGCATCAACTAGCGCTTTGTTCCCGAGCCAAACCGTCTTTGACACTCCTTTTATTTATTGGTCCTTAAATGGAGGCTCAGCATCAAATGTGGGCCTTATGTAGACTGGTCTGCATAGAGAAGCAGCCTGCCTAGGAAAGACACTGCTCCAGACTGACATCCACCCATCAAGGCATCTTGATTTTGCATAATGCCTCCCAACAGTCAGCCCACTGCTTGCATCAGGTCTGAGGACTCCTGATAGGAGGACTGAGGCAGGGCGGTGTGATGTTTTTAGGAAGCTATGTACAGCACCCTGCCGGCCCCTACCACCCTTCATGATCTGCCTGCATTGCAGAGACCAAGTGATGATATCACTGGGTCTAAAATAAGGTAATGAAAAACTAAAAAGTTTAATTAGCATGCTAATGAAGCAGAGAGGGAGGAGCCAGGGAAGGCAAAATATGAGCAGAATAAACTCCAGCTTGAAAGCCCAAAGCCCAACACCCCCCTTCTGTTCCTCTGTCAGAGCTGCTGCAAAATACCGGATCCTTTATTTGGTATGGGGGAACATGTGACGTTCTCCCCGGATGCAGCAATCGGGCCCCGCAGCCATTCACGCCCCCCCCCCGAATGCTTTCCTGTGCGAGACAGGTGAATGGACAGAAGTTCTAATACTTCCCACACAGGTATTACCTGCAGGTACAGTTTATACAAAATGATACCCTTCGTGATGCAGATTGCTGCCACTTACAAACTGGAAGCAGAAGCCGGTTAACACCGCCGTGACCGTCCTCCCCATCAGGCGCAGGATGAGAAAATGTAGCACGACGCATAATAGCGAATGGTACAGCTGAGAGCCTGAGGAGGAGAGAGAGAAGAAAATTACAACTTGTGTCAGCAAGTGCACCCGTCACAAAGTGCTCCATTATCCAGGCAGAGCCGCTCTATAAAGCAGAACTTAACTCAAGCCACCGGATCACAATAAAAATGCGAGGAGAGCCCAGGCGTGACCTGTCAAATCAGTGTCGCCTTCCTCTCCTCCAAACACGGAGTTTCCTCTGCTGTGTTAATCAGAGGCAACTCTAACGCACGGCAGGCTCTGCACCGTGCCTTGTATTTTATGAATGGGCTGTAAAATGTGAGCCGTGATGTAGAGAATCACTGCGGAGTACAGCGTACCCATCAAGACGCCCCTTTATATTGAAGCGTACGGTCAATTAATTAGGATTATATTTTGTTTTTCTCCCAGCGCTGTGCACATCCTGTAGACTTGTTTGAACTTCCTGTGAATGTAAACTCGCTCCACATTTTTACTGTGATGGCTACAGCAGATTGTGCCAGCTCACTGTGCATTGGCACAAACACACACAAGAGCTCAGTCAAGGGTGACAACATAGCAGGTGAACGGAATAAGCGTTGTCACCCTGAGAAAGGTAATGTCTGTGAATACACTTTGCTGGTAAGTAGAGATGCGCCGATACCGATACTAGTATCGGTGGCAATAGTGAGTATTTGGGCGAGTATTCTCCCTAATACTCCAATACTTACCTCGGATACCGGAAGGGAGATTTTCTCTGACCGGCAGTGTTGCGAGGGAACATGGAGCCGGATTCCTAGCCAATCAGGAAGGTGGACAGCTTACTGGCCAAACAGCATGGAGCCAGCTTCCCAGCCAATCAAGAAGCTGGGCAGCGGGTAATGACCCGACTCCATGCTCCCAGAAGTACCGATATCGGCGAGTACCAAAAGATAAATATTGGTACTCGATACCGAAAAACCAGTATCAGTGCATCCCTACTGGTAAAATTTAACTGGAAGAAAGAAACAAAGAGGATCTTTTTGACAGTAGAGGAATGTGTGCAAAATTTTTGGCAACAGAGACTTTTGGCAAAAACTCTAGCTGCTTGCCACCTGTCACAGAAGAACTTTAGCTGCTGTGCCCATTATGAGGGGCTCCCACCATCCCTGTGCTGAGTTCCCGGGTCTGTACACCTGCTGTACCCATTATGAGGGGCCCCTAACCCTCCCTGTGCTGAGTTCCCGGGTTTGTACACCCGCTGTACCCATTATGAGGGGCTCCCACCATCCCTGTGCCGAGTTCCCGGGTCTGTACCCCTGCTGTACCCATTATGAGGGGCTCCGACCATCCCTGTGCTGAGATCCCGGGTCTGTACCCCTGCTGTACCCATTATGAGGGGCTCCGACCATCCCTGTGCTGAGTTCCCGGGTCTGTACACCTGCTGTACCCATAATGATGGGCTCCCACCATCCCTGTGCCGAGTTCCCGGGTCTGTACCCCTGCTGTACCCATTATGAGGAGCTCCCACCATCCCTGTGCTGAGTGCCCGGGTCTGTACACCTGCTGTACCCATAATGATGGGCTCCCACCATCCCTGTGCCGAGTTCCCGGGTCTGTACCCCTGCTGTACCCATTATGAGGAGCTCCCACCATCCCTGTGCTGAGTGCCCGGGTCTGTACACCTGCTGTACCCATAATGATGGGCTCCCACCATCCCTGTGCCGAGTTCCCGGGTCTGTACCCCTGCTGTACCCATTATGAGGAGCTCCCACCATCCCTGTGCTGAGTGCCCGGGTCTGTACACCTGCTGTACCCATAATGATGGGCTCCCACCATCCCTGTGCCGAGTTCCCGGGTCTGTACCCCTGCTGTACCCATTATGAGGAGCTCCCACCATCCCTGTGCTGAGTGCCCGGGTCTGTACACCTGCTGTACCCATAATGATGGGCTCCCACCATCCCTGTGCCGAGTTCCCGGGTCTGTACCCCTGCTGTACCCATTATGAGGAGCTCCCACCATCCCTGTGCTGAGTTCCCGGGTCTGTACCCCTGCTGTACCCATTATGAGGAGCTCCCACCATCCCTGCTGTATTTCTTATATATTATAAGTGATGATGAAAGTAATAGGAGGAGCCAGTAAAGATTTAGGATCCATGGCAGGGAGATCTCACTGTTGGAATATCAAAGACATAAGAAGCCATGAAATGACTCAATCTCTAACTATATATTTAAAAAAAAGGCGCAGACTGTGTTGAAGACTCGCACCATTCCGTGTTCTGCACAAATGACTGTTTTTCACCACATCCTTCCTGATATCTGAATGGATTGGTCAGCCTCCATTATAACCACCGGACCAATCTCAGTGTTGCAATACGAAAAGTTGCAGCATCTACATCCTTTTAGAAGTGGATAACTTGGAGATATTTCTCATCCAGACTAAAACTCTTAGGCCCCATTCAAAAGGGAGACACATGCCACGTTCTGGAATTCCTGTGGCAGGAACCTATAGGTACCTGCAGCAGAGATCCCAGGTGTCCGCGTTCAGATGCGGCCACTGTATCCATTAACGTAGATGACAGGGAGACAGCAGCCGCATCTGTCAGCAGCGATCTGCATGTAATCGTATATGGTACAGGAGGAATCGTATATAGGCTAGCTGTTTTCTCGGTATCGAGTACCGATATTTTGCTTTTCAATACTCACTGATACAGAGTAACGATGCCGGTACTTCCACTGGCATGGAGCCAGCTTCCCAGCCAATCAGGAAGCTGGACGGTGGGTAATGACATGCCGCCAGGCTTCCCGGCTCCATGTCGTTTGGCCGGAAAACCCGCTTCCCAGCCAATCAGCATCGAGCCGGCTTCGCCCAAATACTCGGTATCGGCACTGATACTAGTAACGGTACATCCCTAGTGGTAATGCCTATGCGTTACGGCAACGCACCTCAGCGGTTAGGTTTGAGTCTAATCGTATTGCAGTAGACACCTGAAATTTGACTTGTGTATCATTGAAGGCTTCTGAGAAAAGAAGAGGGAGGGACAGAACACATAGCTGCATACAAATGAGCATGCTGACGGAGTAGAGAGAGCAGAGAGATAACCTTATCGGTCAGCTGCTGCTTATTCACTGCTGGTCAGCATGCTAGGGGTACAGACAGAACACCATTGTATACCTGCTGCGAGTCTAGAACTCTAACAGAGAAGTGGTGTTTTCTGCTTGGCTGTGCTCTCTGGCAGAGTTGTGTAGATCTTAGGAATGTATGTACAGAAATACAAATCCTTTGGCAGGTAAAACCGCTCCATTGTATGTATGCAATCGGTTTATTTACCTGTTTGAACTACATGATCTGCAGAGGGGTCCTTTTTGATAACAAATGAGGAGATGGCTCGTGTGCAAAGCCAAAACTTTTTTTTATTTAGTTGATGAAGAAATCCCCCCACCTCCCCACCCCCCACAGGAGAGCAGCATTGTTTCCGATGGGGAAACCTGTTGCATCTAAAAGGGGATATCCCTTGCTTTGTCGAGATCTCCAACTTCTTCATTTTGATTTCTGGGACAGTAAAATGAAGAGAAAACAAGAAGCAAATTATCTTCACGATTGCCTTTAGTTTACGTAACGGCCTCCCCGGAAATCAAGGAGCGTGCTAGGTGGCCTTGTAACAACGTGAGGAGCTCCTAATGTCGTGTTTTTATACCTCAAAGCGTGGCGTCTCGATGGCCGTCGGCGTGTCAATAATCAGCACTCAGGATCTGAAGACAGCCTTGTAATATTTATACTGCACAGCAGAATGAAGGACAGATATTGACAACACGTCATCTTTGCTCTTTCATGCTAAATCAATGGCCATCCCTTCGGTCACCAGAGAGTTAAACAGTAACCGCGTTCTGGTTCAGAGTCGATAAACTTGTTTTCGGACATGACCATTCTTTCCCTGGAGTTCCACCCTTCCTATATCTGCAGTCTAAATAGTCTAATGGGGCGGGAAGAGTACAGGAGCAATAAGAATGACCTTGGCTACACAAGCCTGGAGGAAAATAGGTCAAATGTGCCCGGCTCAAAAGGGAAGGTGTATGTAAATGGCAAACCTGATCCAGGCGCCGTCACACCTCCGTTACAACATTCTTCGATGCCTTTGTGTTACAGAGCAGCAACATGTGCTGCCGAAAATGCTGCATGCACCTGTTTTGGTGTGTTAGGCAGCCCATTCCAATCAGGAAGCAGACTTAAAGGAGAACTATGAGGTGAGTGCTTTTCACTCACCTCATAGTTCTAGCCGACCTGCGACAATGAGACTGTCACAGGTCGGCTCAGTAGATCGGGAGGTGAGCGAACACATACCGGCGTTCGCTCACATCTCGATCCTGTCACGGCTCTCTGCCGTGACAGGGGAGGGGCTGGATTCCCCCTCCCCGCTCCGCCAGCGCTGACTGGCGGAACAGACGGGGGAGGGGGTGGGTAGGCGGCGCGTCATTACATCACGAGTCATCACATCACCAAGTCATGAGGGAGCATGGAGCCGGCTCCCCAGCCAATCAGGAAGCCGGGCAGCATGTAATGACTCGCTGCCCGCCTTCCTGATACCGGAAGCTCAGGTATCGGGCTAGGCATCGGAGCATTTGGGCGAGTATGAGTACTCGCCCAAATACTCGGCATCGGCACCGATACCTGAGCTTCCGGTATCAGTGCATCCCTATTTTTTTCCATACAATTTCTGAGCACACCTGTGTCTTCCTAAAATGGCCAATTGCAAAAAACAGAACTAAAAGTATAACAGCCAAAATATTTTGAGGGTTTTATTGTTGCCTGTGTCCCCTGTTGTGTAGAGATCTAGAGGCCCATGTAGTGTATCGGTAATGCATGTGCAGCAATGCGTTCTATCATGCCGTGCTAACCCATAACTGGGCATATTGGTGCGCTGCTAGAGAAGGCATGCTGGGATGTCATTCCACCGCAGCCCATTGCACCGTGCTCGGAACGCTACCGTGCGATACGGGAACTAATGCAATTTACTGTGCATTACCGCAAGGCTATGGTGTGAATGGGCCACAGCATGTCCAGGGGACCTTTTTGGGGAAGAGAAGGTGAGGGGGAATCTGATATATTACGGCTGTCATCAGAATAAAAGAGGAGGACGGGAAACCTTCCAATGGGGACAAGTGTCAGAGTTGAGATCTCATTTTAAGATTTCCAGTTACTTCCTGTTGTGTAAGTGAGGGACAGGAAGTCATTGGAAATGTGCCCCGCACTCTTTTGTAAGTTTTGGATAAAGTTGTGTCTTCAGTTAGGGAGTAGTTTCTACACACAACAAACCTCATAAGCAAGACTAGGCCCTGCCCAGCCTGCTCGCTGTGTGTAGCAACGTCTCAGGGTCAGGACAGCCCAGCCAGAGGGTATCTCGCTCAATTTACCATGGGCACATGGCCAGCATCACCGGGTGCCAGGAGGCATGGGTGCGCCTGTGTGTTATTACTGGCACAAAAGTTCCGTACCCTTCAGACATTCTTCACCCGTAGTAACCAAGAACACAAGTCGGCTACTAATCTCCTTGTACAAAGCAAGCCCAAGCCACAAAAACTGTCATTCAAATATATTCCTCGACAGCCGCAAAGGATATAAAATCCACGTTGAGTGCACCGAGTCACTTCGCAAACAGGAATAACTTTATACAAATAGCAGAGACATAGCCTGTGCAGAGAACAGAGTCGTGGGAGGGGCCCAACAGATCCCACCCTCTCCAGGAGGGGGGGGGGGCGGAGACAAGACCAGTCACCCTGCACAAGGAGAGAGACCAGCAGTGAGAGGTCTTTATTATAGGAGGGGGCGAAGACAAGACCAGTCACCCTGCACAAGGAGAGAGACCAGCAGTGAGAGGTCTTTATTATAGGAGGGGGCGAAGACAAGACCAGTCACCCTGCACTAGGTAAGAGAGCAGCAATGACCGGTCTTTATTATAGGAGGGGGCGGAGACAAGACCAGTCACCCTGCACAAGGAGAGAGAGCAGCAGTGGCCAGAATTTATTAC